TTAAAAGGACCCACATTTATCTTCGGTCACCTTAAAAGGACCCATATTTATCTTAGGTCACCAACCACCTCTTTTATCAAAGGAGATCAACTTGAATTTGCATTCATAAAGATGGGTATTTATGCCATATTGTCTACATATAAATTATATATTTACTTTAAGGCATTGTTAGGAGTTTATGTATAATTTGGAAATATTTTTAACTGCTTTGGTGTAAATTCACATTCAGAGTTATTACTCACACTCTGTTTTGAGTGGAGTGAGGCTGGAAATGCTAATCAAATCAAATGTCTAATGTTGAACAGCTTTAAAAAGTGTATAAGCAACTTTTGATTTACGATAAGTTAACAGTAACAATAATGTAAATTGTTTGATGTAAGGTTTAGTGCAAATTTACAAATTTTATAAAAGATTATACCATCTATTATAGTCGCCCGCGTGGTGCAGTAGTTAGAGCCTTTGCTTTAGAGTCGCGGAGTAAGGAGGTGATCCTTACGTCGCGGATTCGAATTCCACTGTGGGACGTGAAGACCGGTCCTTCGGATGAGACCGTATAAACCGAGGTCCCGTGTCGCAGTAGGTGCTGGCATGTAAAAGATCCCTCACTGCTCTGGCCCTGAGTGTGGAGTATAGGATCGTATTTAAGGAAACATTTCCTACAGTTCTGTCAACATAACTTTTTTTTTTTAAATTTCACTTAAGGTAATTTCTAGAATGTATCCATATTTTTCATTATATTTCTAAGACATTCCTTGAAATGAAATATATGGAGATAACGAACAGTAATCAGGCTCAAAAGTTCATTTAAACAATACAAATCTGGAGCAGAGCAAACACGGACCTCTAGAACATCAGAGGTGGGATCAGGTGCCATGGAGGAGTGAGTATCCCCTGCCGACCGGTCACACCCGCCGTGTGCTCCTTGTCATGATCGGGAAATAACGGAAAAATCCGTAGACAATTCAGTGTGTAAATAATGGCCTAACAATTAGTATGAATCAGTCAGCATTTGACTTAATGATAGACTGTATTTGCTGAAAATGTTTTTGTATCGACCATAGTCCAAGATTACGAAATGATGACTTTAAACGAGACTGTTGAAATTCTTGTTTCATCAACTTATTTGTCAAAAACTTACCTCGTTTTAGAAATTGTTCATATGTAGAGCATGCTCTTTCGTATCCAATCATCTGAGAGATATAACCCCGTATGCAGGTGATAATGGTATATTGCTGCATAAGTAAGGGAATTTGACCATTGAAAAGTTAAGGTCATCACGTTTATCATAAAGTTTTGCTGTTAGATTACCATTAAAGTCTTTTTCTAGTAAAATATGCAAATATGAAACAGATGTGGCAGACTCTGTGGTATCTTTTATTTCGAAGCTCACTGGGATATATCGTGTCGACATAAGACTGGAAATAACTATTGTTAATTGATAATACGTCTTCGATATACCTAAATGTCGAGTTGAAGGCCACAGCAAGTGTTTTCTTCTTCTGATGTTAAGATTTTGAATAAATTCTGCTTCATATGAATACAAATTAGATCTGCTAATAATGGGGCTCAATTGGAACCCATGGAAATTCCAACAGATTGTTGGAAGACCTGGTCTCCAAAAACCACATAGATACTGTCAATCAGAAACTCAAGTATCTTTTTAACATCAACTTCAGAGTACTATTGTGTACAATCAGAATATCTAAAAAAAAAAATAATTTTGCAAATGGTGAACAGCTAATGTTGATGAAAATCTGCCTTTCATATATACAAGTAATTGATTTATTCGCTTACAATTACAGTATTTTTGTAAAGTTTAGGTATTTTCATGGATCACCAGCCCTCCCCCCCCCCCCCCCACAATATAATATATATATTTTAAAATACTTTTTCCTAGGGCCCGGATATCTATGAATCCAAATTCATATTGTGAATTAAGGAATTTGTAAGGAGAGTTAATTCATATACATGGAAATCAACACCAATATTATTCGACATCTTAACATGCTTGTGAATAAATCTTAAGTTTTTCTTTAAAACATTCTCTTTATTTCTGCATTAATTCGAATACAAGTACTGTAGAAGTACTTTTTCTGCGCGGTATTTACGCTATGTACGCGGTCATAATTTTTACGCGGAAATTTGTCTTGGCATACTTAATTAAGCACATTTAAATGGTAATTTGAGAAATCTGTAATTTTCTACCCGCGGATTGAACAGAAATTGCGATTCCCCGGAATTATGACCCCGTGGGAAAAAATATGTTTACAGTGTATACAAATCCATCAATGGAGATTTCTGTTTTGTGAAATTAAAAAATTAATTATAATTCTACAAAATATTACAGATTAATTTCTAAGGGTATATGTATGTGGTACTGTTTTGTTTCGCTTTAAATAAATGCCATGTATATGTACTCTGAAACCCTGAAGCTATTTCAGTCAATAAATCCAATGAACCATTTTGAAAAATTATAAATCCATAGGACCATATCTCATAATATAACGTCAGATTTAAAGTCTAGTTCGATGCAATTTTACAGTCAAATTTAAATGAAGTTGGATATGTATATCTACAGAAGACTTAAACTGATTACATGTAAATGAACATTATGTTAAGTACTTATAGTAGGCCTTTCAACTGCCGCTAGGGTTCGATGAAAAGAACAATAACCCGTTACCGGAACTTGTTTACAGCGGGTCCAAGGAAGCTAACTGTTTTTAAGCATGTCAAGTTTTAGCATTTCCAAAGTGTTCCTTCACTGTCAGCGGAATCTAGTGGTTTTAAAATTTAGCTCAAATGTTAAACTTATTTATCATGTAGTTACCGACACTGTACAATAATATATAAGTGTAATTTTTATATAATAAAAATAGAAAGTGAAATCCATCCCCCTTCTTAATTTTGACCTGATTAAATTTTTATACTTGATGGTTCTTCTTCGTGCTGATTGAAAAGAATAAGATAATTTATTGTTGCATAATTGTAGAAATATATATCCTTATAGATGAAGCACAACAATGCACACACAAAAACATGGCATTATATTTTCTTCTTCATAACAACTGTCGGAGAGAGTTAAAAATCTTGAATATAGTCCATTCCCCATTCATTGATCCCGTTATTCCAGGTATAGAGTGAAGACATTCTCCTTGTTTTGGTCAACCCTTTTGTGTACCAAAGAATATAAGGAACTCTTTTGTGAACATAACAATACCAATTGAAGCAGCCTATATGTCATTCCTATAAACGATAAATAAAAAATCGGCACTTTGTTTGTCGTTTTTTACACTTGAGTTACCTGTCCTTGAAACACAACATCTTACAAATCAAATATTAATAATTAATTTTTTTATGATTTAATTAAAGGTATGTATAGTTTATAATCTTCTTTTGAGAATTTCATGTAACTACAAATCTATCTGTCAACTGTTTTTTACCATATGTGCAACTTGAAAAATTAGTTGAAAGGCCTACATTTGTATACCTGTGATGTGTTTTCTATAATATATGATACCGAGTTTGAACAAATCTAGAATGTCTTGTTGTGCACACCTTTGGTCTGTGTATTGAACACACCTGTAGTTAATTTTCTTTTAAAAAAAACTCTCCGTCCAAAAGATTGTATATTGGATTGTAAATGGTCTAATGATCGTCGGAGATTACTAGTAAAGACTAAGAAATGACGAATGAACCGCTAACCCTATATGGCTGACAGAACGGAATCCGGCAAACACCGCGTGTTTTACTGCGGAGATTTTAATCTCAATATTGTTTGCTTTGCAATTTTTTCATGCAAAGTGTACAGAAATGGGATATCTTATTTAAACAGTTTAAAATTTAATTGTTGGAATTATATAATTAGGCACATACCAATAAAATCGATTTGTCTCTTTCCTATCAAGAAATACGTTTACCAGAGGGCTTGAAGATATTTGGAAACTTTTTAAAAAAAAAAACCGAAATCTTCAGGCACTTCATATTTGAGTCTGAAGATTCTGAAGATTTATATATACTGAGAAGTAAAAAAAGCCTTTAATGTATAGGAAGTTTTTGTCTCTCGTATTCATGCTTGAGACAGTTGAATTATTATTTACTTACCTGAGTTTTTTTTTACTTTGCCAAAACTTTATTTATAATGCCATTGCAGAGAAGATTGGTTTCTAGCTTCTCTCCTCAAAAGACAGAGAACTTTTTTCCACATTGACTTGTTCACCTCAATATGTTTATAAAAGACACTCTTCCTCTTTCGGCCCCAGGACTAAATTACTTGAGTAAATTGAAAAAGTGTATTTTGTTAAAATTGCCAACATCTGCAGTAGTTGATACATGGTGGTTGTAGTGCTTGTTTGTATTAAATAAACTTTGAAACATAGTCAATATCTAGATTGGCGAGGGGTTTCTTATCATATGAAGTATCCCTGCAGACTTTTCCAAATGATCCAACTCAAAATTACCCGCCTCCTTCCAGAATCAAATCATCACCCCCTGACATAATGAAATCAATAATTGCATTTCAGAAGTTTAGAAAGGATTTGTTTTTCTGATAAACTTTATTTAAATAAAATTAGCTTTTATAGTATTTTGACAGATAAATAGAGGATATTCAATGTTTGTATTAAGATATGGAATTTATTCACGAGTGGGAAAGGGTTTTAGATATTTTCACTGGTGAATTCAACTACAAAATATCGAATTTTCTGTTTATTACATTTTCTTTATAGAAGGGAAGGGCTTTGCTCAGCTTGGACAAGTACTGTAAACAAACTTTTATTTGTAACAACTTTTATTCGTCATTTGTCAGTTTGAAATTTATCGGTGACGACTAATTTTTGCGACAGAAGAGTTGTTCTACGTGAATACATGATGACTTAAATAGCTATAAAGCCAGAAATATTCAAAAGTTTACATGTAGAGAGGTCACGAAAGTTGCATATATTTCTCGCACGAGAGTACTGAATATTAGCTATTCTGGTCAACATTTTAGGAATGCATATTCGTTTCAAGTGCATCGTTTACTCTGTCATCACAATACTAAACATAAACAGATCAGTAATCGATTTCATTGCAGATATTTGATTTTTTCACTTGTGTGTTTACATATTGACTAACAAACAGATTGTCATTTGTATCTGTAGACAGTGCTTTGGGTTGAGCCACTCCACACTGTATGTATCGGAGGAACTGTCCATCCCGGTCTATGATGTGAACACAGTCATTGTAAATATCAGCTACAAGGATGTGACATTGGCTATCAGTAGTAATTTCTACCGGATCGAATGGTTGGTTCTTTGGAGCAGGAGTATGTCCAGTGTACCTAAATCCCAGTTTCCCGGCCTGATTGACCACCACTACTGCTCTAGCTCCACTGTCAGCCACACAGATATCCAGATTTTTATTCTCAGTTATGTATTTATAAAATATACAAAAACCAAGAGAGTACAGAGGTTTGCCTTCATCATCAAACTGAATGGTTTGTTTCTCTGTTGAGCCAGAATGACGGACAACTTTTGTTTGTTTGTCATCATCACTTCGCATGACAACCAGGAGGTCACCAGAGGAGGTACTACAGATACTGTCAGATCTCCAGTTCTGTTGTAGTCTGATCACCTCCTCTTTCTCTTCATTCTTCAAAATGTTCACAGTTCTATCACTTCGACAGTAATCAGAGTAAACTAGATCTCCACTTTTTGTCACTGTTATGTCTATTGGCGTGTTTCCTGATTTGGTTGTAATTGACTTTACTAGTGATCCCTGATTGATGCTGAAGAGTTTCATGATCTCGCCTCCACTTGTCCAGATTTCTTTATCACTCACACAGGCCACATTGAAAAGCACTGCATACCCAGTGTCTATGGTTGTGACAGTCCCTGGTTCATCAAGCAGCTGTTTGACTGGAGGAGAGGATCCAGCTTCTGGTGATTTTTGTGGTTTCTTCATGCTGTAGCCATGTTTAACTGAAGTTAAAGAACTTGTTGCAAAAGTGCCAAACAATATACTGAGTTCTTCTCTTTGAATTTTTCCAGGCATGAATTTAGGTTTAGACAGCACAAATTTTTTTGGAAGTTTTTTGTATTTGTCTTCATTGAATTTAACGCTAAACAGTTTTGACAAGTCATTGGGGTCTTTAAAAACATTGACTGAATTAATTTCATCCTCCATATTGGAAATTGCCTGCTTTATTTCATCCAGATGTTTCTGTAGAGTTTGTAACTGTGTGTTTTTCATCTCATCAACTTCAGATTTAAGTTTCTTAACAAGTTTGTCAATTTCTCTGTGCCAGTCCTCTCCATGTTTTATTATGTCTGATGAGAGATCTCCATATTCCTTTTCTAACTGACTCATAGTGTTTTGTACATCAGAGGCAATATCCTGGTATGTTGGATAAACTGTTTCTTTTAATTCAATTTGTTTCTGAATTATTTTGTTCTTTTTTTCATCCAGAATTTGCAAAATTTTCAAAAATTTATGAGTTAGATGTTGATCAGATGCAATGCAGATGTTGCATACAGGAATGTCACATTGATTACAGTACATTTCACATCGTTCTTGTAGATGAGAGATGCATCCTGGGTAGAGAGGAGTGGATTTCTGACTTTGTGGTCCTTGAATTCATCGGATATTATGTGTTCTCCCACACAAGCCTTACACAGATTGACAAGACATGTATCACAGCGCACCTGTACCATAGCAGTCTCACACAGGTCACATCGCATCACGTCCTGGGCATTGGCACGGGGGTCCATTATTAAACGTTTTGCCCTATGAATATACAGAAATCCTTGTGAATATTTATCGAGAACAAGATATTAAGATTAACAAAAATATTACTGAGATGTTTTAAGTCTAAAGATTTATCTCTGATTTTTCCTATGAACAATTTTTGGTCAGTTTTTCGAAAAACTAAGTATTCATTTTTTAATAGTCCGATCCACACTTTGCAAAAGTTTCTTTCCTTTGCGGGTAAACCAAAAGGTCAAAAGGGAAAAAAAAGAAGATATTTCTCCACTTTACGCTACATATGTACCAAACATTTAGGCGTGCTCTGGTTAATCCATTGCATTTAATTTTTTTTCTTTCGATGTATGGGGCAATCAATATACATGATGCACAGATTTTTTTCCCAGTCAAATGTCAAAGTTACAAATGGACTATTGGACTTTTGCGAGAAGACTGACTTTTACACTCGACGGCTTACTTTGACATTTAAACATGTGTTATGTATGGAGGTACGGATCTGATATTAGATTAGAAAACCTTGCTTGTGGTCGTAGGTATGGTGTTAGGGGCACTTACATAATTTACTGGTATACAATCAACACAAGAAACGATGGGAGGTAGAATAACGTAACTTAAAATACCTTATTTGTAAGGGGCAGTGTTTCCTTTCAATCTTATTTTATGAAGGAATCAAATAAGGAAGAAAAAACATTCCAGAAGGAAAACTTGGCAGGAGTTGGTCAATGTGGGAAGGCAGGGGGTTTAATATAGGATGTTTCACGTTCCCCTCCATAGACAACGTAATATGTGCGTTGAAATGCTCAATTATATCTTTGCATTAACTGTTAAGCTAAATATTTATATCGTAGAAAAGCTGCCGTATATTGTCCCAGTGTAAAAGTAAGTCGTCAATTGTAAAAGTCAGCGCTTCTCGCAAAAGTCCTTTGCGAGAAGAGCTGACTTTTACAATCGACGACTTACTTTTACGCTAGGACAATATATGGAAGCTCTTTTGCGATATAAATATTGAGCTTAACGGTTAATTAAACGATAATAATGGGCCATTTCAAAGCACATTTTACGTTGTCGAGGAAGGGACCAGCAACCACCCTACCCTCAACCCCCATCCTTCCCACATTGATGAACTCTTGCTTAGTTTTCCTTCCGGAATGGTTTTTTTCTTCCTTATTTGATTCCTTCAGAAAATGAGATTGGAGGGAGACACTACCCCTCACGAATAAGGTAATTTATTTAATTCTGAATCCCATCATCTCTTGCGTTGATTGCATGCCGGTAAATCATGTAAGTGCCCCTAACACCATACCTATAACCACTATTAAGACTTTCTTGTCTATTGTCGAAACCGTACCTCCGTACATAAGGCGAGTTTAAATGTCAAAGTAAGCTGTAGACTGTAAAAGTCACTGCTTCTCGCAAAAGTCCAATAAGAAAACTACAAAGTCTGCAGTGAGGATTCTATGGATTTTTCCCCAAAGATGTTTTTTTTTTCCCTAACTTTAAAAATAAAAGGAAGCTGTGAAAATTTGTGTGAAAATGATATATATAATTGAAAATTTTAATTAGTTTTATAAGAAAACAGATATATGTACAGTGTATTTGACTGCACTTATGTAAACAAAACAAACCACTGCATGAGAAATCATGGATATAAAGCTAAAAAATTAATTGAATGTTAAAAGAACATATTTTAAACATATTTTTAAAGATGCTTGGTTTGCTGTTGTTTTTTAAAAAAATTAGATAAAGTATAAACCGTATTCTAAAGGAATATCCTACCTGAAGTTTAGGGAACCATAATGGCGACCGCCCAGTACACGTCTAGCCTCTTTCTGTTTACTCAGATCACATGACTACCCAGTATACACCTTATATATATATATATATATATATATATATATATATATATATATATATATATATATATATATATATATATATATATATATATATATATATATATATATATATATATATATATATATATAATGCATTCTCTACTTCAATGTCCCAGTTATAAGGAGTTGGATCTTGCACCTCACGCACAAAACATTTAATACATCAGAGTATTGAGACTTTACATGGAACTCTGTATTACATTGAATTTCTTTCAGGACCTGACAAAACATTTTTGCAAATAAAAGAGGAATACGTCCAATATTTCATATTTGTTTCCCATTAGAACTTCATGAATCCAAATTTCTACTATTTAACAGTAATTACAGTTTTAAGAATGTATTCTGCTGATATTGTTGAGGTGCCAGCCATTTTTACGAACTCCTATGCATTTATCCATCAAATATTCACAATTTTTTTTTTTGCTAAGTTACCCCCTTTTTATTCCTTATACGAATTCCTTTTACCCGCTTTTGACCATTTATCTGTCATGTCATCTGTAGAACACGATGATACATACAAGCTGGATGGATGAAAACAGTAAGTAAAATCTTCTTTTATCAATACCTTGAATTCACATAATGTCTTTGACTAGAAACGTGTGAGTCTTCGCATTAATTTATTTGAAAAACAATATATGAACTTTTTCGATGTACTTACTTGGCATGTCCTTTGTAATCCTTTTCAGGTCTTGTGCTACAAGATATTATAATAAAATGAATAAAAATTATTACTAACATTTCCACCATTTTTTGGGGTGCTGAAAATTTTTGTTAGTTTTTCGATTTTATAAACGACGATCAAATATTACAGATGTGCATTAAACATTTTGATTTTTTTAAAATGACCAATGCTTAATATAAACAATGACAATTTTTGTTCACGCAGATGGCGCTTGGACAATCTTTATGAAATTTCACAAAGATAATTGTTATCATCTTTAGTTATGCCATTTACATTAAAATCTTTAAATTGACGACCATTGCCAGTGAAACGATTGCACAAACATTTTCACACAACGAACGAGTTATCTCAGAGTTGGTTTTTTTCCGGAAGGTTGAAAATCTGTCGTAACGGGATCATTAAATTATGCATGGACGCGGTTCGGGACAATACGCGCTATTGCTTGCAATAGCAAACATTGTGATCTAAATCTTTTCATTTTTGGATATTTCACTGATTATAAACGTTTAAGGTCAAATAACGACTACATATATACGGTAAACGAGTTGACTTCCGAATCATCTCACTACGAACTTTTTAAGTATTTTTATAAGGTAATTATATAATATATTATAATATTCTCACCTGTATATGGTTTTACATCTCCCGTCTTATTCAGTATGGTAGAGCATGCCTTTGAAACATAGGGAGACTACTGACAAAGAAATAGATGTATCAAGGCTTTCAACAGTTTCAATCAAAGTCAACTTTTCAAGATCAAAATTCCTGAGTTATTATAAAGACCTTGTTAGCAATACATTTTGTAATTTAAGAATACTTATAATTTTAACAAATTTACAAACATTCATAAAAGCCATAAATTTTATAAATACGGATTAAAATGAACACCCTAACAAAAAAATACTACAGGAAGCTATAGTTAACTATAGTTTACTATAGTTAACTATAGTACCAAATTAAAAACTTTGGAACTTTGATTTACTATAGTGAAAACTTTGGAACTTTGATTTACTATAGCAAAAACATTGGAACTTTGATTTACTATGGTAAAAACTTTGGAACATTGATTTACTATAGTAAAAACTTTGGAACTTTGATTTACTATAGTGAGAACTTTGGAACTTTGATTTACTATAGTGAAAACTTTGAAACTCTGATTTACTATTGTAAAAACTTTGGAACTTTGATTTACTGTAGTCAAAACTTTGGAACTTTGATTTACTATAGTGAAAACTTTGGAACTTCGATTTAGTATAGTTAACTATAGTAAACTATAGTTAACTATAGTTTACTATAGTATTTTTTTTGTTAGGGCAAGCCCAGAAAACATTTCTTCGGACGAATTAGATGTTGTTCTGACAAATAAAATAATTGATCGGCTAAATATGTTCTTCGTTGGACAAACAAGAAAAAAAACCCGCAAAATAGGAATAATATGCTGAATAATAAAAAAAATAGTTTTGTTATACAATCTTTTTAAAATGTATATAATTCAGTCGAGTAAAATTCATTATTTTTTAACCGTCCCGGTAGCTCAGTTGTTAGAGGCTCACTCCCTGATCGGACGGTCGTCGTTTCAATGCCCGGTCGCGACTGACCTAAGTCGATAAAAATGGGTAGCAACTGTTCCTTCGCAAAGCGCTCGGCACTTTGGAGTGAAAGTTGCGGGTCCTTCGGATGAGACCTTAAAAACTGAAGACCCGTGTCACAGCAGGCGTTGGCACGATAAAGATCCCTCCCTGTTCAATGGCCCCAAGTGCCGAGTGAAGGTCTAAATTTGAAGCCCTTCACCAGTATATATGAGAGAAAAAATTTTCTTACGGGTCATAAAACAACATACAATCAATCATTATTTTAACACTATTGTACACTTGACAGCCATTCTACAAAAACAAACGACAAAAAGACCTGATTTTACAAAATGCTAAAATTAGAACTTTTTAAAACTTTTCTTTTGTTGATGCAATTCTCTCAGGTACAAAAAGCTATCAAAAGCCAGGTTTATCGATTTTTTTATTCTGGTTGTTTTGAGAATTGACGATTCAAAAATGCTGAACTTGTGCGATGCATATTGCAAAAAGAGATGTTTCTGAATATAAAACGAATCCGAATCTGAAAATGAATATGAAACGAATCTGAATCGGAGAGATCTCGATCCCGATTTGAAAATGAACACAACGAAAACATGATTTCTGAATACATTGAGAATATTATTACAGATTTTTTTCTTTGGTATATCAATCTGTAACCTGCATAAAAAGTTTAATGTGTTTGTGACCCCCCCCCCCAAAAAAAAAAAAAAAAAAAACACCACCACCAAATCCTGAGAGTAATAAGTTTATGGTTTAATATTACTTGTAGCAATGTGAAAAAATAAGAGTTTATGATGTAAGCTAGAAATATATTTTCTTGGGGGGCTAGGGAGTGTGTTTGAAATGTC